ATTACAGACCAATCTCCTCATGCTGCGTCACCTGTAAAGTCATGGAATCAATTAATAACCAATCCATTATCCTCCACTTAGAGACAAACAACCTACTCTCCAATAAACAATTTGGTTTCAGGAAAAAACTATCCTGTAATCTGCAACTCTTACACTGCAAAAACATATGGACTACACAACTCGATCAGGGCAAAGCAATAGACGCAATCTACATAGACTTCTGTAAAGCCTTTGATTCAGTGGTACATGACAAACTACTCCTAAAACTAAACTCTTATGGTATCTCTGGACAACTGCATAACTGGATAGAAGCATTCCTGTCAAACAGACAACAAATGGTCAAAATTGGGAGTGTCCTATCAAATTCTGTACCTGTCAATAGTGGTGTCCCCCAAGGCACTGTTCTAGGACCAACTCTCTTCACACTCTACATAAATGACCTCTGTGATCATATTAAGAGCAACTGCATTCTTTTCGCTGATGATGTAAAGCTGTTCAATACCACAGACAATACTGCTACCCTTTAAAAAGATCTTGACTATGTATCAGAATGGTCAAACAAATGGCAACTTCAAATCTCAACAAATAAATGCTCTGTCTTACATATTGGCAAAAAAAAACAGAAAATAAAATACAAGCTGAATAGTCAAGATCTTGTTGATGATCCAAACTCTGTAAAGGACCTTGGAATACTCATCTCTAATGATCTAAGTGCTAGATCCCACTGTAACTACATAGCCAAAAAGGCATTAAGAGTTGTTAACCTAATCCTACGTAGCTTTTTCTCTAGTAATATCACACTACTAACTAGAGCATACAAAACATTTGCTAGACCAATACTCGAATACAGCTCATCGGTCTGGAACCCACATTACGTATTTGATATTAGCACAGTTGAGAAAGTCCAGAAATATCTTCTCGTTGTAGAATACCTTATGCCACCAGACTTGAAATTCTAGACCTAGTAAACCTTGAATTATGCCGTCTTTGGTCTGATCTAAGTATGGTATATAAAATCATACATTGCAATGTTCTACCTGTCAATGAATACTTCAGCTTCAACCATAACAACACAAGAGCACACAATAGATACAAACTCAAGGTTAACCGCACCAAACTTGATTGCAGGAAATACGACTTCAGCAACAGAGTGGTCAATGTCTGGAATACTCTACCTGACTCTGTGGTTTCTTCCCCAAATCCCAAAAACTTTAACCTTAGACTGTCTACTATTGACCTCACCCCTTTCCTAAGAGGTCTGTAGGAGGCGTGCATAAGCGCACCAACATGCCTACCATTCCTGTCCTATTGTTTCTTTTATTTTTCTTATATGTACCCATTTCATGTATTCATAACTATGTATATACCTATACCTATTATCTTGTAAGCAATTGACAAATCAAATAAATAAAATAAATAAAAAGAAATGCTTTTCCTGCCTTCCACAGGCAAGCAACAAATGTGACCTATGCTGTCTCATACCATGTCCTGATCTGAATCTAGACTAAAAGGGGAGGGGACTTTTTGCCTGCTGTATGTGTCTTTTTTCATAATGACCAAATAGTTTCTTTTCCTTTTTCTTTCTCTATCCAATTACTGCTTCCCTCTTTCTCACCTCCATCCAGATGTGTTCTCATTCCTTTCCTTCACCTATTCTTACTCTATTTGCTGGCGTGCTTTTCTCATTTTTTTTAACTGTTCCTGATGGAAGAGGAAGGGGAATGCATGCATGGTATGTTTCTATGTGCAACAGATATTTATGTATGAGAGAAAGAACATTTGGTACATGCAGATCAGTATGATTTATTGTTTAAATGGAGCTATTTAACAAGAAGTTGTTTTTTAATGAATAGTTACTAATGCAATCATCTCTGCCTTTTGGGGGTTGGATGGTGAGGAGTGTAACTTGCAGCAGATATGTAAACATAGACACAAACAGGTCAGTAGTGGGATTCCAATTTTTTACTAATGGTTTTGTGGGCATGGCTTAGTGGGCGTGATGTGGCTTGTTGGGCGTGGCTTGGTGGGCATGGCAGGGGAAGGATACTGTAAAATCTCCATTCTCTCCCCACCCCACTGACCAGTTTTCCAGCTCCGTTCTTCTGTGCAGGGCAACAAAAGAAGACCCAGCTGATCAGGCAATAGATGTGGGCGGGGCCAGTCAGAGGTGGCATTTTTTGGTTCTCCGAACTACTCAAAATTTTCGCTACCGGTTCTCCAAAACTGGTCAGAACCTGCTGAATACCACCTCTGAAACAGGTATACCAAATATATCACAAGCATACTTTATTTGTATGTCCTCAATTGATAATGTAGGTTCCTGTATATTATGCGAACTTTCTATATTCACATTTTTTCCTAAATCCTTTTCATTTGGGAAAGGGAGGTATTTTAAACAAAGAGTCATCTTCCTATGCATATAATACTATCATTGAAATAATTTTCTGTTTTTTTATGTCTGTACATCAGCTATGGTTTAAATATAATATTTGGAAGGCTGAAAAATATTCTAGAAAAAGTCTACTCCACAGACCAGGTATTTCCTGGTAGACTCCCATTTGAGTACTAACCTATTCTAACTCTCTTTAACTTGAGAGCAACCAATGTCACATCTGTGTTATCACATCCACTCTAATATTTATCTGCTAAACAAATAATTCCCTCAACACTGTTCAACTTTTACAAAATCTGCACTACTATTACTGTTAATCTTCTCATCACTCCTTATCACCCATCCCCTCCCACTTGTGACTGTATGACTGTAACTTTGTCACTTGTATCCTTATGATTTATATTGACTGTTTCCTAGTATGATTTGATTACTTATTATACTCTATGACTATCATTAAGTGTTGTACCTTATGATTCTTGACTCTGGATGAATGTATCTTTTCTTTTATATATACTGAGAGTATTTGCACCAAGACAAATTCCTTGTTTGTCCAATCACACTTGGCCAATAAAGAATTCTATTCTATTCTATTCTATTCTATTCTATTCTATAATATAATATAATATAATATAATATAATATAATATAATATAATA